CAAAAATTAGCGGGATATCATAGTGGGCACCTGTAATCCCAGCTACTTGCGAGGCTGAGGCAGGAGACTTGCCTGAAACCAGGAGGCAGAGGTTGCAGTGAGCCAAGATTGCACCATTGCACTCCAGCCTGGGTGACAAGAGTGAAACTCTGCCTCAAAAAAAAAAAAAGGGAAAAAGACAGAGTCCATCAGGTGACCTATGATGGACTTGAAAAGAATGTGAGAAACTAGCCTTTGTTTATTGTTGTTACCACAGCACACCCTAACCTATCTCGCCTGATTCTGTATGGCTGACACAGGAACTAGAACACTCAGAGCTCATGTCCTCTGGCCTCATCAGGTCACAGCTTTCACATTATTTCTCTTCTTTATGCCTCTGACCTGTAAAATGAGAAACCATCTTTTGGAGATGTGCACATGGGTTATTCCAAGCAGCTCAGGCAAGTCCTACCTGCCAACAATGGGGAGCTGTATCTGTTCACACCAATAATCTCCTAGGAGAAGTCACCATGGAGATGGGTTTTTAAAAAAATTCTTTTTCTCTTATTCCTACAGAGGAAGAAACTCAAGATTATGTGACAAAAATCTACCTAAGATTGTCACTGTAGCCCTGAGAATGATGGATATTTGGGAGGTGAAGTGGGAAGACACCTGGAGGTGAAGAGAAAACTTGGGAGTCATTTAGAAGGTATGAAAAGAGCAAATTGCCTAAATTAGTGGCTCTTAAATTTTTACCTGCATCAGAATCACCTGGAAGTCTTGTGAAAACACAGATTGCTGGGCCCTACCTCTAGTCTCTGATTCAGTAGGTCTGGGGGTCAAGAATTTGCATTTCTAACACCTTCTCAAGTGATGCTGATCCAAAGACCACACTTTGAGAACCACTGCTCCAGAAGAATTCACTACAGAAAACTGCGGTGAAGGCTCTGGCAAGAGGAGTCAATGTGGTTACAACTTCCAGTGCCTGGCCTTAGCAGATTCTCCTTGAAGAAGAAAAAGAAAGGAGCCAGTTTTCCTTTTTCTACTAGAGACATTAGTCTGAGACATAACACACTACACAATAAAATTAAGCTCCTCTAAAGGAACAAAACAAGAATCTCATTCATTTGCATAATTTAAAACAACTGTTTCTGTGAGGAGAAATCATGCCTCACTCACCCTCCAGAGCTTCCCTAGGAGGTAAATGTTAAGGGTATTTCATTTGGGAGGAAGCAATTTAGGTAATTCGCTGCAGCCCCCCTCTTCAACCTTATCTACACACTCCTCTTCACAAACCTCTACAGCAAGTCAGCCTTTTTACCCTTTGACCCCGCCAAGGCTGGTCACACTCCCCTCAGCTGTGAACGACACCTACACACATGCACATGCATACACTTATCTTCCCTTATGTAAATCTTCCCTCTTCCTTCAGTTTAGGGCCAGAGGCTTCAAGAAAGCCTTTCTTCTCTTTCATCCCTATCACAGTCAATCAATCAACAAATCCTGTTCATTTTACTTTCCAATGAGAATCCATCTAGTGCTCATTTTTCACTTTCCCTCAACTGGTGTAGATTCCCCCATGCTCTACCCTCTTTCCCCTCTAGGTCTTTGCCCAGGTTGTTCATCTTGACTAGACAGATCTCAATTTAAACTACATCCCTTCCCAGATGAGGGGGCCTTCTGTGGCCCCTAAGCCAGGTTGGAGTCCCCATTTATCAACCCCCATTGAACCCTATGTTTCCTCTATCACGAACACTTTTCACATTTGTGATCTCTTATCACAGCAGACCCTAGCCTATCTTGACTGATTCTGTATGACTGACACAGGAATTGGAACACTCAGAACTCATGTCCTCTGGAACCATCAGATCATAGCTTTTACATTTCTCTTCTCCATGCCTCTAATCTGTAAAATGAGAAACTATCCTTTGAGGGGCATGCACACATTATTCCGAGCAGCTCAGGTGAGTCTCACCTGCTAACAGTGAGAAGATGTATCTATTCACACTATTAAGACCAGGCATCTTCCCTACTCAACGGTAAGCTCCTCACCACCAGGACCACATGTGTTGCTTGCTGCTGTACCTATAGAGTCCAGCACAGCCCCAGACACAATGTAGGCACACACTCGGTATTTAATAAATGCAGGAATCATCACATCAGTCCATAGGAATCCTCCCTTCTTAATGCCTACAGTGTATTCTGCCTGTTGCAAGTAATGTGTGGCCAATCAGTGCCATCGTCCACCTGAGACAAGCAGGTACCCCATGACATCCAGGAGATGGGATCTAGAGGGAAAAAGTAAGCCTTGAAAAGAAGGTGCATCTTTTCCTTGGATGCTGGATGGAATTGAAATTAACTACAGACATGTTTCGGTGGAAGGAAAAAGGCTACCTTCTGAGGAATGGTCAGGAGACAAAGTCTTCTGTTAAGAATGAAAGGGAAAGGAATTGTGTGTGACAATTGTTTTGTAATGGTAGGTCTGCATTTTCTTGCAGCTCTTGTGGAAGTTGGTAACTTTCCAAGCTAAAGGTCTGATGGATTCTCCATCCAGACTTAATAACGACAAGCGCCGGTCTGTGATGCCTGAGGACTGAAGCCAGTGACCTCCCAAGAGCTCAGGATTCTATAAACAAATTCATTCTGAGCTGGAATTTGGGGAATCCACATCCTAGCTCTCTTCAAAAAGCAGTTTTTTCTCAATCTAGGAGACAAGACAATCTTTACCTTCCACTCACTCTCTCTACTAGTATTAATGCTTCCAAAGTCAAGACTCCCAATCCCAGACCCTGACTGTCATCTTCCACGGACCGGCAGCATCAAAATAATTTAGGAAGTGGCCACTAACTATGATAGGAGTTGGGCTTGATGAAGGGAGCACCACACAAAGGCAGCACAGGCCTTGAAACCTGGCTAACCTGGGACAGCATCTTGGCTCTCCTAGCTGTGTGTCTCTGGGCACATCTTTGGGTCTCAGCTTCTTCATCTCTAAAATGGCAATGATAGTCTCTCTCTCAGGATTATCCTATTAAATGAGATATGCATGTAAAGCCTCTAGCACAGAGCAAACGTGTAAGAATGTCAGTTTCACCATAATTATAGCTTTCTAGCTTTAAACGTATTGTGGGATAATGATTCTAAGCTGAAAACACTATAGAAATGAAATGATATGTTTGGAATTTGCTTCAAAATAATCTAGGAGATGAGAGGGAGGGGATAGATGAAATAAAATTAGCCATGTTTTAGAAATTGTTGAAGATAGGCAATAAGAATATTGAATTGGCCATATCTCTCTCTTTTGTCTATGTTAATTTTCTTTCCATAATAACAAGTTTAAAGGTGGAAGTACTGAGGGAGGGAAATGCTGTAAAATATAAATACTGAGAGTTTATTTTAAGATCATATTTGACCTAAGTGACTAAACAGAGGAAAAATGATTTGAAGAAGAAAAAAACCTTTAAAGCTAACATCTACCTGTTGTCTTCTTCAAATAGAACTGTCTCAAATGAATGGTAAGGGACAAAGCCACCTGTGCACATTTCTTGCCTTCCTTTTTTGGGAAAACACATCCTGCTTGGGCTGTACATGTATTTTTTTTTTTTTTTTTTTTGAGACGGAGTTTCGCTCTTGTTACCCAGGCTGGAGTGCAATGGCGCAATCTCGGCTCACCGCAACCTCCGCCCCCTGGGTTCAGGCAATTCTTCTGCCTCAGCCTCCTGAGTAGCTGGGATTACAGGCACACGCCACCGTGCCCAGCTAATTTTTTTTTGTAATTTTTAGTAGAGACGGGGTTTCACCATGTTGACCAGGATGGTCTCGATCTGTTGACCTCGTGATCCACCCACCTTGGCCTCCCAAAGTGCTGGGATTACAGGCTTGAGCCACCGCGCCCGGCCTGTACATGTATTTTTAAGTAGACAAGCCCTGGGTGTTAGAATCCACCCGTGAGCACCCTGAGAGCCCTGTGGAAACCAAGCTGAGGAGCAGGAAAGTTCTCATTTTAGGAAAAGAGAACAGAAAGAACTCGGAATGTCCAGGGACAATGGGGATTACCAGCTCTCCTCTTTGGACTTTGGACTCTTATTTGAGGCTTACCTGGGAGGCTGGTTTAGCTCAGTCTGAGGCTACACACCCCTTCTCCCCACCTATCCACCCCCTCCCCACACACACTATATACACACATTGTTTTAAGAGATGGGGTCCCCCAAAACCTAAAATGCAATAAAATAAATAAATAAATAAATAAAATAAAAATAAAAAAATAAAAAAAGAGATGGGGTCCAGGGCAGTATGTGGTGGCTCGCGCCTGTAATCCCAGCAATTTAGGAGGCCAAGGCAGGAGGATTGTTTCAGCCCAGGAGTTTGAGACCAGCTTGGGCAACATGGCAAAACCCCATCTCTACGAAAAATACAAAAATCAGCTGGGTATGGTGGTGCATTCCTGTAGTCCCAGCAACTTGGGTGGCTGAGGCAGGAGGATTGCTTGAACCCAGGGAGGTCAAGGCTACAAGGAGCCAATACTGTGCCACTGCCCTCCAGCCTGGGTGACAAAGTAAGACCCTGTCTTTAAAAAAGAAGGGAAGAAAAAAAAGATATGGAGTCTTATTAGCCTTGAACCCCTGGGCTCAAATCCATCCTCCCAACTCAGCCTCCCAAGTATCTGGTACTACAGATGTGTGCCAGCTCTATTTTCACCCAGATGAGTGGGTCCTCTCTGAACAGAACTAACGTGCCAGAAGATGTATCAGGAGAAAAGGTTCATTCAGGGGAAAGGGAACTTTTAAGAAGCTCTGACAATACCCAACACAGCACATCCCTGTACCATCCCTCCTCTTCCATCTCTTGTCACTGAGAGAAATCTGGAGATTGAAAAATAAAATTCTTCTCATATTCCTCTTTGAATCAGCCAATCCAAGCCCCTCTGTCTCAGAGAGAAAACAATCCAGCAAGTTTTGTTTTCAGCAAATGCCTTTAGTCTCCCATACTCTGCCCAGATAAGGAGAGTACATAAAAATACTTACTCTTCTTGAAGAATGAATTCACTATTTTCTGGAGAAAACTGCCCCGTCACAGGATGCCTGAATGCCGTGGTCTGCTGGTTATGGCTAAAGAGAAAGAGAAATGATGGATGAGAAGTCGTGTGAATGGAAGGCTTACAGATACCACCGGTCAGGCAGCAATGTCTGGTGACCCTGGTCATCAAAGACAGGGGGAGAAACATGGGCCTTTCCTCTTCGACACACTTAGTCCATCAGAACCCTGCTACACTAAAAAAAAAACAAAACAAACCCCAAGAATTTCCAACTCAGGTGCCAGAGCCCACCTACAAGACAGGGAGACTTCTAAGGAAGTCTTGTCTCCAAGAGAATACTGCATCTTGGAGAGACATTCCATGAAGTACTTACTCCAGCAAACTGAGACGCTGAAAAAAAAAGACACTTTAAGACAGTTTGCGCTAAAACAAGAATGAAGGAAAGCAGATGACACTTCCGACAGTTTCCAAAAACCATGAACCAAGTGAAAGAATTCTAAGAATTAACCACCCACCCAAAAAATCTATCTTCTGAAAATTCTCCCTACTACAAAATGTCTTCACTTCAGTGATGGGATATAAATGGATGGGCATGTCTCTGCAACATGACCCGCACAATTTCAGCACGGTGGAGTTTCTATCACCCTTTTGAAGTTAGGAAGGATCAGCTTCCACACCAAGCTGACAGACACAAACAAAGCATGTAGGTGTTTTGTGCGACGACAAAGGCTGCTTGGTTCTTTGAAAGGGAGGAGGAGCTGGCTCTAGAGACTGTTGCTTTGCTCCACAAATAAACTAAACTAACCCTCTTCTTTTTCAAACAAAATATGATGTATTTAAATTTATTTCAAAATCATAGTAATTGTAGACTTTTTTTTTTTAAAGACAGAGTCTCACTCTGTTACCCAGGCTGGAGTGTAGTGGTGTGATCTCAGCTCATAGCAACATCCGCCTTCTGGGTTCAGGCGATTCTCTTGTCTCAGCCTCCCAAGTAGCTGAGATTACAGGTACCTACAACACGCCTGGCTAATTTTTGTGTTTTTAGTAGAGACAGGTTTCCCCATGTTGGCCAGGCTGGCCTCAAACCCCTGACCTCAAGTGATCCACCCACCTCGGCCTCCCAAAGTGCTGGGATTACAGGCATGAGCCACCGTGCTGGCCTGACATTTTTTAAAACGTGGAAAGTAAAAAGTCACCCATGACCTCACTATGTGGAGATAACCCTGAGTATTTCCCCCTTCCAAGTTTTAAGTTTTCTTCTACTTAAAAAGAATGACTTCAGGCTACTGAGACTGAGTTTACCGTATATAAAAATCTATGTCCTCCTTTTTCACACCCTATTAACATAGAAAAAGTCCTATATCATTAAGACTTCTTTATTTGAAATAGGCTAATAATAGTCTTATTATATGAATATTTTAAAAAAAATTTTTGACAGGGTTCCGCTCTGTTGCCCAGGCGGGAGGGCAGTGGGGTGATCATGGCTTGCTGCAGGCTCAAACTCCTGGGTTCAAGTGATCCTCCCACCTCAGCCTCCTGAGTGGCTGGGACTACCAGTACATGCCACCGTGCACAGCTAATTTTTTGTTTTTTTTGTAGAGATGAGATCTCACTATGTTGCATAGGCTGATCTCAACCCTAGGCTCAAGTGATACACCAGCCTTGTCTCCCAAAGTGTTGGGATTATGCCTGGCCAAATGCAAAAATTTTTTTTCATATAACCACTCAAAAAATTGTCTACTGGGCACCCGTGTGCTAGGCACTCCTTTAAGTACTGGGGATAAAAGGTAAACGAAAAAGTCCTTATCCCATGGTATTCACATTCTAGAAAGATTTATACTCTTCTACTGCTAGATATTTTAGGTGCCTCCTCCACTATTATAATCTATATCCCTTTCAGTGTAATTTGAATTTTGCAATTCAAATTTTTCCTTGGGTTAAAGTCTCAAAGGAAAAATTACCAAATCAAAGGGCATGGTCATTTTTTTAAGGTTCCTAAAACAGACAGTTAAAATGCTTTCAGAGTCAATAGATCACTTCAGTTTGGTAGTGTTAAAATATTAGCCCCATCTCCATATTGAACACTAAGCCTCCCTAGAAATTACTATGTCTAAGTCAGCATATCATGAAGGTTAAAAAAGAAAAACTCTCTAGGCCTACAAAGTTGGTTTTTTCTTTTTTTTTTTTCTTTTTTTTACTCCACCCTAATGCCTGGTCAGAGCCTCCCATCTCCAGGTGTCTGGGTAACCTGGGCACTGAGGGTTAGAGCGGTCTGAACCCTAACAAGCCAAATGAGAAACAGGCCATGAGGACTATTCCTTAGTCCTGCAACTGTGCACTGTGCCACCACACCGTCACCCATCCCAACCACAACCAGCCTCTGAATTCCCTGGTCCTGGTCCCAGGCAAGCCTGTGGAATTCTATGGCTTCCCCTGGCAGCCAGCAGAATAGTCTTCCCAAAAAAAAGCAGAGTTAAGGCTGAGCATCTAAGATAAGGACAAGAAGCAGGCCTTCTTAACACCTGTTTTAAAAATCCTTGCACCATGTTCAAGAGTTAGGCTTTATTTACACCCAGCTTTTTCTTTTTTCTTTTGAGACTGAGTCATGCTCTGTCGCCCTGGCTGGAGTGCAATGGCATGATCTTGGCTCACTACAACCTCTGCCTCCTCAGCTCAAGTAATTCTCCTGCCTCAGCCTCCCAACTAGGTGGGAGTACAGGCATGTGCAAGCATACCTGGCTAATTTTTGTATTTTTAGTAAAGACAGGGTTTTACCATATTAGCCAGGCTGGTCTCCATCTCCTGACCTAAGGTGATCCACCCACCTCAGTCTCCCAAAGTGCTGGGATTACAGGTGTGAGCCATTGCTACCAGGCAAGCTTTTTCTAGAAACTTATCTCCTCTTGCCAGAGAATCTGAAAATGCAAACTCTAAATCTAAACCTGCCTCATTTCCACCTGGAGGAAAAAAAAAAAACCCCTGCTCATAATGGAAATAATAATAAAGCATTAGCACCACTATCCATCATTAACTCTAAAGGGCTTTGCAGTTTACAAAGCACTTTCTTACACATCTGGGGTATTAACACCATCAACCTTCATTTTATGAATGAGGAGATTTATAAAATGAAGTAAATGAGGGGTTGCCTTGTACAAGATAACTTTGTCAATAAATTATAAGACTGGGACATGGAGCAGGTGTAGTGGGCTCACAGCTGTAATCCTAGCACTTCCAGAGGCTGGGGCAGGTGAATCACTTAAGCCCAGGAGAAAAGAGATGAACTAAAGTAATGCCTTCTGAATACTGAGGTCTTAAATTTCCCTTTTTAAAATTTTATTTATTTATTTATTTTAATTTCCCTTTTTTTTTTTTAAGACAGGATCTGACTTCGTCACCCAGGCTGGAGCGCAGTGGAATGGTCTCAGCTCACTGCATTTTCAACCTCCTGGGTTTTAGCGACATTCCTGCCTCAGTCCTCCAAGTAGCTGGGACTTACAGGAGCACACCACTATGCCTGGATAATTTTTTTATTTTTAGCAGAGTTGGGGTTTCACCATGTTGCCCAGTCTCGATCTCCTGAGCTCAAGCAATCTGCCCTCTTTGGCCTCCCAAAGTGCTAGGATTACAGGCGTGAGCCACCCTGCCTGGCCAAAATTTCATCATTTTTGATCAAACACACTCAGTTTGCTAAGGGGAGGTCCCTGGTCGATTCCATTCAATATTCACAAATACCTAAAAGAGCTGGTTAGGTATCACCACACCAGGTCCCAAATGGCGAAAGTAAGGCCCCCAAAGAATGGAGATTTACCTACAACAGCAGTCAGCTCCTGTGTTCCCTGCACACACCACCCTTTTGATCTCTTTCCACTACTCCAGACTCACCCTTATCAAACGAAGGCTGCCTATTAAACACTGGCTCCCCAAAACCCATTTGGTGATTGCAAAGTCCTCCTCTGGCTTTATTTGCTGTCCCTTGCTCCCCGCCACAAAAGCCCTCAGTCAGTTCCATTTCCTGATTCTAACACCCATGAAGAGTCCCGTGTCCTATCACGATGTCTCAACAAGCATTTAGCAGGCACAGACACATCCCTGATATACCTGCTCTTAAACCTGATTTGCTACCTTGCTCTATGGTAGTAGAGAGATGGCCTGGCTGGGAGCCAAGTGGCTGGTTTCAAGGGAGCACAAAAACTCTCTCTGTTCCACACAAGGGCTTCTGTTTCTCTTCAGGACACTGAGAAAGTAATTTGGCAAATGAGGTAAATGCAATCTAGCCTCTCAAATCCTCCTCTTCCTCCCAGAAGCAGCCCCTCGAAGTTGAATGGCAGCCAGTCTCACTTAAGAAAGGACCAGGGAACATGGATAGAACAGGGCAGGGAAGGGTAACACCTGTGAAAGCGAGCTATGGGTAACCATCCACGTAAATAAGCACGTCTTCACAAGTCCTGGGCCAGGAAGGACTTGGGTTAGGTCCTAAAGAAGTCTGACAGCAAACACAAGAGACTTGATAAGAGAGTAAAGTGAGGGCCATGGAGACCTGGAGACTGATTTGAGCTCAATGTAAGGTGGAGCCCACCTACAATGACAGGGCTAGTCAAAATGTAAATACATCCTATAGTTTCTTGCAACATTTTTCCAAGATTAATTTTCTATTCATATGGATTTTGATTATAATATGAGCAGTGACTCCTGTTGGTTAAACATAAAGGTTCCAATTACTTAGCACAGCAATTTTTTGGCATGGCAAGAAGTTCTGGTGTTATGTGAGTGATGCTCAGCAGTGGGGGTCAGAGCACGCTGATAAATCTGGTTTTCTGACAGTAGTGGTATTGGTATGCTGAAAGTGTGACAAATCTGCTCGGTCAGCACTAGCTCTTATCTGGCCCATGCTATAAAGAGAAGAAACAGCTTAAAATGTAAGAAAAATATCTGGCCTAAAAGCCTGAGGAGGGACTCTATTAAAGATCTTCTCATTGGTATGCTCAGCAGTATCTGCCCCACTGGACCTTCTGGTTCCTCAGTGTGGCTCCCAGAACACTGTAAAAGTGTTACCCTGCAGCCCTGAAGCCACAT